TGGTAGGTAAGCATGGGACACGAGATGGCCAGCCTCCAGCAACAACAATAATAGCAAAATCAAAATTAGGAGGCTCTGTTCCAACACCTCCGGCCACCTCGTTGAGCAACCATGACAACAACCAGCTTGGGGGAAAAGGCATCCCCCGTGTATCTAGATAAGTATTTCTTTTTCTTTTTATTATTCTTAGTTTGATTTATATATATATTAGAAAAAAAGATGAATAATTGAAAATAAAATAAAAAAAAGTGTGTCTAGTTTGCTTTAATTTCTTTTAAGAGCTAAATAAATAAAAAGGGACTCTGAGGATGATCTCTTAATGGAAATGATGAATAATAGCTCTATTATAATTCCTTTCAAGTACTTAGTTTTAAGCCTTGAATTCTCTCGAGTTTTGGATAAGATTGTTTTGATATAAGGATTTAATCTAAACTTGAAACTCGTGGGTAGCATATGCTTGATCTAAGTCTAGGTAATTGACGGATATGATATGAGAAGGTCTGAGCTGTTGTTTATCTTGTTTCAAGTGATACTAAAGTTCTAGAGATTTATCTTTTGGAGAACATAAAAATGACGATGAGTTTCTATATGACAAAACTTGAATTCCTACCAGAGCCCTACATGTTATTTAGGCTAGAAAAATTTCCACATATATGTTGCTTGTTTTGCATTGAATTTTGTCAAGATTTGTTGACCCTTATGAGAGGTTTGTCATGCTCTTAAAATCAAGATCACGTACACTCCACCCACAAATGCACTACTCCTACACTAGGGGTAGGCGTAAAAACATGTCATTCCATCTAGATCCACCCAAAAATATTTTACTCCTACACTGAGGGGTAAACACAAAAACATGTTTGTTAGGTTTTCCATCCACCAAATAAATGCTCAAAGTTTTTATTGATATCTCTCTCAAAATTCTGTTGCAAAAAAGAGACATGGGGCTATGCAAAAGTTATTCATAAAAAAATAATTAAAAAAATGGACACAAAAGTGTCCAAGATATTGAAAACAATGGGTACTTAGATGCACGCCTAAAAAAGAGAAAAAGAGATGAATAAGATAGCCCATATTCTCTACCAAATGTTTTTAAGTTTCAAAAGAGAGATGTTTTCAAGGAACAAAGTAGAATTAGGTTAGCCACCATATATATATCTACCATACACACACATGCACATCTTGATTTGATTGTATGACTCAACTCTTTTTGATCTGAGGTTTGACTTTACAATATATGCATTACAAGTATGCTCTAGCTTTCTCCCTACCTATGAACTCCACATAAGCTTTAGTTGTAGGAAAAGAAAAAAAGGCATAACATCTTTACTGCCTTTGGTGAGGATCTACAAATACCACATATATTGAGAGACTTAAGAGTGTCATACAATGGAATCTCTAAGTTTTATTTTGAAAACTTATAAAACTCTAGAACAATGGTGGAACAAAGAACTTGAGACATAGTGCTTGACTTGATCGTTCTATCTTTCAATTACTCAAGACTCAAGTGAAGGCTAAGAAGCCCCAAGGTTGAAGGTAATATGGATAAGTTTGAAAGACATAATAGTTTGTTCTAATTCAGAGGAGAATTTTTTATTGAACGCATGTGTACTTTTGAGGAGTAAAAACATTGTAGCAACTCCTAATCCATTGCTGAATTTAGCTTTGCTCAAGGATGAGCAAAGGTTAAGTGTGGGGGAGCTTGTTGAAGATCGTTAACATCAATCATAAACCGTCCATATATCCTATATATATACTTAATTCCATCATCAAACATAGGTATAGGGGTTTAAACTAATAAATTTCCACGAGTTTTGGTGAATCTGTTTTCACAGAAGGTTTATCCAGAAAACCATCAAGGGGACCTATTCGTCAAAGAAATTACGGAATTCCGCCGCATAAATAGAGTGGGAAGATTCTAGAAGACTCCATGAGGCTCTCCACCGAAGCAGACTCGAGGGGCTGCCATGTGGGGCCGGCTGGCCCCACCTATAGGGCGGCTGGCCTGTGGGTCCCACCAGTTAGCCTCCGCTTCGAAAGTCGGTTCCTCACCGCCATTGAGATCCAATCTTCGCCGTTTTTTCAAGTCGGTTTGATCGGAGGGCTCAGTATTGACACTCCGGCCTATATATATCAGCCTCTACCCCCTCCCTTAGTAGATCCCTAAAACCCTAATTCATATCCCTCATTCAGATCAACACACATCAGGAGGATTAGGTCTAGAGCTCTTCAATGTAGTAGATTAGTAGCTCAGGAGTGAGGGTCGAGTTGGGCTCTTGCTCAAGTTTTGGATCTAGTCTTTGAGGCTAGGCAAAGCCTAAGTCTTGTATCTTCACTTCTACATCTTGTAAGACTTATTATTAATTTATCATATTCTTATCTACATGGCTATGCTTACCTTGAATATATATCTTTCTTAGTTATGGTTATCATTACTTTTGTGTGCGCGGGTTCAGAGAGCGCTTAGCCTGCTAGTTTATCGGTTAGGCTAAATAGTTGAGTCTCGTGTAAACATGGTGCTTATACGATGCTCTGTCTGTGAGTGCACCTTGTTCTCTGGTTGGGTGGTAGTAGCGGGAGGTGACAGCCCCGTCTATCCTTTGTAATCCACTCCGAATTGAGCAGGGTCTCAAATTGTAGGACCGTAGTTGCGTTAGTAGAGTTATCTATTATGGGTGCTCTACCGTCTAAGCAGCATCCCAAAGTGCACAAGAGTAGAGTTAGTCTTAGCTATAATTGGATGTATATATACTTTGGACCATGTAATAGGAATATCATAGGAATCTACCTCACCCGTTGTTCTCCCGAGGTTACTAGTTTACAGTATGTTAGTGATATATCCCCTTAGTGTCATTATACTTTATTCCTATGATTACATTCACCCCTGCTTTAGCTATGTTGGTATGTTGATTAGTAGACATCCCTTTGTTATCCAATAAATCTTTACTCTATTGTTTTCCTATGATAAAATATGAATAACGATACCTGAAATACTCCCGGTAAAATATTACAATGATATTATGTGTGCTTGCGTAATCTTTCATATTATATTTGCACTTAATAAATACCAACAGTGACCTCGCTCGTGCCCACACCCCTAGTCATGTAGCTCCGCGTCTGCCCCAACGATCGTGCCTTCATCCCTGCCAAGGATAAATTCAACCTCCGACACGTGCTGGGGTCCACAGTGCAAGTGGAAGCTAGGAGAAGCTAGTATTTTCAGCTCCATTCCCCATCCAACCCGTGTGAGAGTGTGTTTTCATGAGCTCCTTAGGTTGAGTTGTTTCATGCTATCCCATTTGGCACAAAACATCTTCAGACAGCTCCTGAAGCTGGTGGAGGAGATGCACCAAATAAGGCCTAAAATGTCTCTAGTTCCAGCTTCTTTGGTGGAGCATTTTTATTTTTGGCTCTAGCTTCTCTTGTTAGAGGAACGTTTGCCAAAACAACTTCTTATTAGGCCAACTTCATACATGAATCCACTTATTATTGGGCTCACTCTTTTATTCCTCTCAGCTCCTCACAGATCTCTCTCACCTCCCCTGTGTCTCTCTCGCCCGACACCGCCCCAATCCTCCGCATCTCTCTCACCTGTCGCCGCTCCCAATCCCCACATAGGCCCTCCTCCAATAGCACTGAACTCCTCCACTGGCACCGGCCATCCTCCACTAGCGCTAGCCCCTCACCTACCAGCGAAGCAGCGGTGTCAGGGGTAGCGCATAGGGAAGACGAGGCCACGATGGTTCCTCCTCAACTCCTCTAGCGCCCAAGGATGGCGAGACCCACAAGAGCGAGAGGGAGCCAGGTGAAGCTTGATTTTTCAGCTCCTAAGTTGCGTTCAAGCTCCAGCCAACTGGTTTTGCTTACTTAAGAGGTTGTTTGGTTGGTGATGTGGTGAAGCAAGCTCCAATCAGTGACTTTGCGAGACTTTGGGCGTGTTTGCTTCATGGTGTGGCCTAGGGGTGCTCGCCTAGGTAGGTCGATCCAATCGTCAAGCGCTAGAAATTAACGGCCTAGGGAGCTACCTTGCCCATGCACCTTCACCAGGGTTAGAAGCAAACAGGCCCTTCACGTATAGAGTTGTTTCCTAGAAGGTCGTTTGGTTAGTGACACGGTAAAGTGGCTCATGCAGCGACTGCCGGGGTAAGGGCTTCCAAATACTCCTGCCATCCTAGCTAGTCACATTTCCCATGTGTCGAGTGTCGAGCAGGCTCCACAAATCACGAGGGCATGTACCTCGTAGACTCTCAGACTTGTACTTCTTCACACATCACATGTAAAACAATGGCAGGTCCATCCCATCCCCATGGCTATTGATCATGGTTCTGTTTGGATGCTTCTTCACACGTCACATGTAAAACAATGGCAGGTCCATCCCAACCCCAAGCGCTCAACCTATATGAGTGGAGCCATATAAAATTGTCTAAATAGTGTTTTTGGTTGGCTACATGCATAGCGGTGCTTGTACCGGTGGTTGCAAATTGTCGGGGATAAATCCAAATTAAGCTTCACTTCCGGGCCGCTCGGTGGATGTAGGATTAAGGTGATAGATCCACACGTCCGTGCACATGTCTTCCTATTTGTTTGGCTTATAAACCATACTTTTTAGCCAACTAATAGTATTTTTCTCTCATAACAAATCAGCCAACACAGAACTTTCAACCAACAGGCTTATCAGCCAAGCAAACAGGACAATGCTAGCAAACAGGACAATGCTAGATAGATTGTATCTCCTCTCGCGGTAACCAAACAGTATCTTTATTTTTCTTCCATCAGCTCGTGCAACCTCACCAAACACCTTTTCTAAAATAGTTCCACTCAACTTGCATCCCCAAGATATACGATCCAGCCCTATCCACCAACCAAACCAAAATATACGATCCAACCCCATCCACCAACCAGACCGCTCGAGCCTTGCACTAAGTACTGGAAACATTACGCCTGCATCTGCTTGAAAATGCGCAGAAGATATCAAACTTCTCTTTTTTCACTGAAACAAGATCTCAAGAGAAGCTACCCTGCTCGTCAATCCTATCTATTTCTAAAAATTGTAATTCTTTACACTGCAACAAAATACGAAGATATTTGAAAAAAAAAACAAAATACCTAGATATTTGCAAGTATACTGCATCCACAATAGCAGCATGCTATCTCCAAAGAGAAGAAAATAGGTGGCAGGTACTCCAGTACTTCGAGGCTGTTTGGCACCCGCTCTCGCGGGCTCCGGCTCCCTGTGCAGGCGCACTGTACAGCACTGTGCTGCACTGTAACGCGGAGCCGGCCGGCTCAGGCTTCGGCAAAATACAACTACAAAGTGGAGGAGCCGGAGGAGCCAGCGTTCTAAGGGTCCGGCGGCTCCGCCACAATACTCTGTTAAGAGTGCTCGGAGCCAGGGCTGCCGGAGCCCCTCTAGCCCTTAGAAGCAGAACTTCTGCCGCTGCAAATGATGGATGGACAAATATGAGATTGCGTACTTGGTACCATTGACTAGAAGAGGGAAGCATTAAAATGGTATGCTCTTGAAAGGAAAAGGCAAACTATACGAACGGCCGTTACTTACACAAAATTTGGCTATATGTTGTTGGTCGATATATGCAAGCAGCTCATCCTGCCGAATCAATGTCTCATACAAGACCTGCTCACGAGAGAAACAAATGTCAGTACAGGAAAAGTAGCATTTTCTATTAATTGTTTCATGAACTCCATGTATCAATCTAGGATTTCTCGTCTGGTTCTGGTACAACAAAATTATCAAGAAAATTAGTGAACAGCCAAATTCTTGAATGTAACTAACATGGCTGAGAAAAATATTATTACAACAACATATACTTAAAATTTAAGATACCAAACTAGGGTCAACCTGGTAACCAGCTTACAGCTACTTTTTTTTCTTTAAGAAAACAAGAGTACCTTCTTCATAGAAATTAGTTCAGCTTCCAACACATCCACGCGGTAAACGGAAGTTTGTAACAATTCCTCCTTTTCAAACGGCACTTGGGGTGGCTTTGCTTCAAGTGTCTGTATCTTCTCCTCCAATTCACCAAACCGTGTCAATACAGATGTAAGGGTGCCATTTCCCGTATATCCTTGATGGAAGTCAGCACTATAGTGGTCACATGTGATGGCCTGGTTTGAGAGCCTTTTGGTCGCTATGCTCAGGACAGAACGGAGGAATGCCAACAAGCTCAGGACTAAGACTGTTGACCACGCGACAATTCGAGTTTTAAGTCCTCCCAATGTTGCCGGTATATTTCTCAAGGAGAAAGAACCTGATGAAGCATGCATAAAGAATCAGTCAATGTAACTCCCAAGCTAACTTAGTAGCTCATCCTAATAATAATCTTAAAAACCAGTCGAAATTGCCCAATATGCACCACTATTTGAGATTTAGACTGTTCAGCACGTGTAGTATTGCATCTAGTTAGTCTCAATGCAGTTGGTCACAAATCACAGGAACTTCTCAATAGGAGTCTAGTCTATGAATGACATGATTACATAAAGACCTGAGCTGGAAGGCGTCGAGCTGCTTCTTGGATTGGAGCATACATCCACGACCTTGTCAACAGCAGGGATGCTATCCCCTGTAATGGGTGGGGCATCAGATGAGGAAGCATGTCCTGGAAATTTTGACTGTACACAGCAAAACATCTATCGATCATCACATTGATCAATTAAAAAGATTATAAAGAGTTCAACCATTAAGAAGCAGTAACCCAAAAAGGACATTTACATATGCAACTGAATCATTTGAAGTCATAAAACCTGTAGGATAGCATACTTATCATTGACTCTGCAGATGCTCAAAGAGTAAAAGGATACTTGCCTCATCCACATGGGTCAAATTAGGGCTTATGGGATCCACTAAAACCGTTGGAGAAGAAACATCTTCCATCTCAGAAATAGATTCGGCAGAGGCATCATTGCCTTTTTCCTGCTCCTAAGGGGGAAAGATTTATAAGGTAAATAATGGAAATCTCAAAAAAGATGTTCCAAGTAACGTCCATGTAAAGCAGGCTTACAGTTGAGTGTTCAGTACAACCAACTTCCTTCTGATTTATGCTTGATACAGCAAGAACTTGCCGACCATAGTTTGCCTCACCATTGATAACCCTCTGGGAATTGAAGCCTTTTATTTCAGTATTATAAAACAGGACAACTAGTCAGAATGATGAGGACAGCACTAGGAAAATACCTTGACAATTTCAGGATCCTTCCAAGGGCCTTTATCTGATTTCAGACAACCTCCATACTCTTCACACCTGCACTTGCCACCAAGAAATTCTGGGAGTTCACTGAAAACATGGAATTGAAAAACATTAGGATGGAATCCAAATTCCAAACAGAAAACCAGCTAACAGGATTTGAGATCCTAACCTGCCATCAATTATTTCAAGTAATTTAGTTTGGTACTTGTTTCCGAGGACCTTGATGTGGAAAAGATTGGTGAGAATCAGTATATATAAACCAAAAACTACACATGAATAGTAAGATAAGACCGTAGCAATAAACAGTAGCAACCATACATGAATTTTTGAAGCAGTTTCTGGATCAAGAAATGATTTTATTGTACCCCATAACATCTTGAAGCCTTGGCCAGCATTTATGATGTAAAGTTGGTATAAGGTCTGCAAGATCATTCATAATGCATTAGAAAATTACTTCCCTGTATAGGCCCAGACAAAAATGGTGAATTCATGAGCAGCGATAATTGAAAAGGAACCATGTACATTAGGTAGAAGAGATAACCAGGGAGGCAGGGAAGTGACGGGATAGTAAAAAAACTAGTACTGAAGTTCGGAATAACATACTTCTGGATAGTTGTCATTGTTGATCTTCTGCAACCGCATAATTAGCTCTCTTGCATCTTTCGAGAAGTTCTTTAGGCCCTTGACTTACAAAAACAAGTTAATTGCTACTCTAACCCCCCTTAAAATAAAGTTTGTTGAGGGAAATGTTGTAAATAAAAATCACATACCACGCCTTTCACATCCAATATCGTAGTAGATGAGTCTATGTGCCTTTTCGCAGCAATAGAACAAGCAGGAAACCTCATCTGGAGACATCTCTCAAACTCCTTGACATGATATTTTACATAGCGGTCAATAGTTGTGATTTGCACTAGTTTGTTGGTATCAACTTTCCCAATTACTTCTATGTAAACAGGCCTTCCCTCTTTGTCCACACCATGATAAAACTGCGGATAGTACTTCACAACTTCATCTAATTCAGTGTAGTCAAATTCCTAAAGGACCAGATTAGACTTTTAAAATTAAACAAAAAGAAATAATTACACTGCATATATCATGGTATATTAGATAATTAGCTTTACCTCTATATTGTCAGCACCAAATTCCTTCCTCCATCTAAGCATCTCTGACCACATATGCTTTGCTTTGTCAATATTAAATTTCCTGGCTTTCAAGAACCTACACGTATAAGGCATAGGAAAAAAAAGTTAAACCAAATAAGGAGGTGAATTTCTATTCATGAGATTTTTTTTCATATAAAAAATATTGTGCAGGAGGTAAAAAATCTGACAGAAGAGAAGAACCAAGAAACTTAAGATGAGCAAATGCGATGAAGCAATACCTCAACATCGTGTGATAATCATCGTGATGTTCTGGCAACAGGCCCTCATCAAGTAAACACTGGCGGAACCTTTCAACAATCTCCAGCTCTTGAACATCTCTTATGTCTTTTATTGAGGCTACATGGTTATCATTCTTGGTTTTACTCTTTCTCCTTAAGGAATGCCTAAATTTATACCCTGCAGTAGCTGCTCTCTTCTTGAAAGAACCCTTTTTGGGTTTTCTTTCTCCTTCTGAGTTCTCTTCATCAGAATTGCACTCTCTCATTTCGTCACTGTGTGCATGACCTTCATGACCTGCACCCAAAACTATTTCAGCATTCCGTGTCTCAACCAAATCGAAATCAGAAATCAGTATAGCAGTCATAACAATCAGTAGGCAAATTAGCAAATTGCCATGCCTCACAAAGAACAAAATTTGGTAGTAAAACTACAAGTCATTCATACGAACCAGACCGTAAGGTTGAAACTCAATGCCCCCTCCTGCGGGCAACAATCTAGCAAAAATATTCTCATCTTTTTGAATCAAGTACCGAATTTTGAAGGACACGTTTGTTATTTTGAGTTCGTCAATCAATTATCAGGTTATCAGCAGTCAACTGTCAGAAGGAAATCTTTATATCCACTAAAAGCGGAGTTACAACTGAACCGACGAACCAAAGTAGCGAGACGCCCCCACTCTCCAACCCCAACATCGAAGAAACAAGAAAGCACCAGGCATAAGGAAATCATAAAGAACATGTAGTTGAAGCAAACACATTTTGGCACTCACTCGGCGTCGCGAGCCGGTCGATGGTTGCCGACATTCCCTTCGCCGCAAGCCCAAACCCGGGTGTGATTCCTCTTGGGATTCCAATTCCAGAGCCCTCGCTACGACCCTAACCCCTAACGAATGGGGCTCTCGATCAAGGAGTAAACAAATAATGGATTGCTCCGAATCTAGTTTTTTTTTTTTCCTAAGCGGAGAATTTTGAAGATTTTTCCTAGCGGAGAATTTTGATGCCTTTTTGGGAGGGAGGGGGAAAGAAAGCTTCTGCTTTCCCTTCATTGGTGGAGAGAGGGGAGAGGCGGAGGGGTTACACGGTTCCCGGCTGGACCAGGTCCATGGGCTCCGAAGTGCGAGGAGGTGGCGGTTACCGACACGTGAACCTGCCACGTGTCTGATGATGAGGGCTCTGAGTCCATCGTCCCGTGCCCTGGCGGATATTTTTTATTTTTAACATATTTTTTAAACTAATTTTAAAACTAATACTATTTATTTTTTTCAAAACTAACACTTTTGGCCGCGCCTATTCGCACGGCGCGATGAATTAATGCTGCCGCGCCATGCATGGGGGCGTGGCGAGGCTGCCCACGTGGCAGCGACCAGGCCGCTGACGTGGCCGGCGGTGACGCGCCACGCATCATGGCGCGGTAGTGACGCGCCACCGCCTAGGGCGCGGCAGAGCCTAATAAAGGCCCGCGGCCCAATCCCGCCCCTCCCTCTCTGTTTCAGTCGCCAGTGCACAACAGCCGCCTCCATGTCGCCCTGCCTCCATCGGCGCACCTCCCAGCCCGCACCGCCGCGCTATTGCCTCCCGGCTCCCCATGGCCGGCTGTCGAATTTCCCTCCCTTGGCGTTCCCCTCCCTACCTTCCTCGAAGCTCCTCCTCGGCCTTGTGAAGGTAATGAAGCTCCTCCTCGGCCTCCGCGGTGGATCGAATAATTTAAATAAGTAGGTAGGGTATAGAGGAAAATATGAGTTCGTTAGAACGTTAGATTGAAGGATTAAGATTAAGATTGCCAATATTAAGGTTAATTAGTTAGTTAGAATTATGATTACCATGTATTTTGTTTGTTTGAGTTTGCATCTCAACTTTTATATGTGAATAAATATATGGACACACTATTGATGTACCAAATTTTATTTTTACTGGCCAAAGTATAATTTTTATATAGTTTTCATATTTGCATCTAAGTTAGAGTTTGCAACAAAGTGTAGGTTATATTTTATTTGTTGTAATGCAAATGGTTCTCATTGACATTAATTTGTGATGTTTTGATTTTTGTTTGTTAAATTACAATCGTTTTGTTAGATGCAAGAAATATATCGGGAGCAGTTTTGGCAAAAACGGGGTCGTCCTCGAGAATTATACCCTGACGAGCCCCGTACCTCCTGATCTCCCTGTCTCTAATTGTGACTGTGGTTTCCTGGCCGACGTGTTTCAATCGAGACATCTAGACACAGCGGCGCGTTGCTTCTACACATGCAGTCGTTTTAATGTAAGTAATTGTTTCCACTATCTTTTTTCTTCATTTGTGTAAGTAGGCTACTAATATTTTGTTGGAATCTTGTTGTGTAGGACCATGAGAGGTGCTTTTTCTTTCAGTGGATCGACGGTGCAGAAAAGTTTGACCCTAGGTACCTCTTTTTCGACGATTGGTGTAGAGGGAGACATCCACGTGAGCACTTCCAGCGGTGGGTTCCACCCCCTAACCCCTCGCCAATGACGGCTAAGGAGAAGCACATAGCCATAGTTAGACGACTCGAAGAACCTCCTCTGTGTGAATATGGAGATCGAGCTGTGATAAATCCGAGAAATACGTTGGAGTTTGTGTGTCCGAACAAACACGAAGTAAGTGGAAAGTAAGTGGAAAGTGTATCTGTTTAAATGTTTATCTCTATATATGTGCATGTACTAATGTATTCTCTTGTAGCATTATGGATTTGCGAAGTGTTATTTCAATGAGTGGCTCCACGGTCCTAAGAATCAATAGCCAGAGCCACCAAAGGCAAAGAAAAAGAAGAAATAAAGGTTAATTTATAAAGCATCTCCAGTTAAGTGCGAATGTGGTGTTAAATCCAACTACATTCTAGTCTCTTCGGAGCTTGAAATAGGCCATTATTATGGCCATATGGTTGACTATGATAAGGTTGATTATTTTTGTGGTAAACACGAAATCGTATTTTGTTTCTTTTGCTAAGACATATATGATATAATTTTTCGTTTGAACAAAGCACTAGAAAATGCAGGTGGGAATGTTATGATGGTCAAGCTAAGTTCTTGGATGAACTAAAGGGGAGGCAAGTAATTGCACGAAAGAGGGGATATGGATCTGACTACGTCAACCTATTCGTTAAACATCACAAAAACAAGATACGTGAGTTTGTTAGACAACACGATATTTATAACCCGATTGATGTTGGGCTTGACAAATGGGGATTGGAGAGACAAAGGACGTTAGAGGAGGAGAGAGCAAGGAAGGAGGCAAGGGAGGAGACAAGAGTAAGAGTACAGATGCAGGTCTTGAACGAGCATGTTGTTGCATTATGTGTCAATGAGTGCTTAAAAGCCTTTTTTCGTTGTTTGTTTTTAAATGTAATATAATCGCGTTGCTAACTAATTGTATTTTATACATGAAAGGATTAGATGCAGCGAGTACCATGCCACAGAGATGGCTCATGCAAGGTATGAAGAAAATAAATTAGATGAGCACAGAACCTAAGCTGGTCGCACCGTTCAATCACCGATTGTGTTGTCTGATGAGGGGGAACGAGGATGACACTGTCAGGCAGTGTTCGCCTAAATGGCCTAAACAGCCGATTGAACAGCCACTAAACGGTAAACGGTGGTAAACTGTTTTGTTTAGGGGTAAACATAAATTAAACGGTTGATTGTTTAAACGGTCAAAAAACGAAAAAATGGTTTAAACGGCCTAAACGAAATGGAGATAAACACTATTAAACGGGCTAAACAGACAGCTGTTTAGGCGAACACGAGGTAAATCTAGTTTATTTTTGTATGGATAAATTTGTATACTTAAGTTTATTATATTTATAAATGTGTACACTTGATATGTTACATGCATAAATATCTATATTTGGTTCTTTTCACATGCATAAATATATATACATATCAAAATAATTAATTTTTACTCGAATAAATATGTATAAATGTTAGAATACTTGATTTTTTACATGCACGTATATAATTATATGTATTGTAAAAAAAATACAAAACCATTTAGACCATTTAACTTCATTTAAACACTGTGTAAACAGCCTAAACACTAAACGAAGAGCGACCGTGTAAAGACCGTTTACCGTTTAGAAAAACATTGCTGCCAGGTTGAGTGATCTCATCGCTCTTGATGAGGCAGACTTGCAGGCGGAGGAGGCAGAGAACGACACTGACAGACTGAGCGAGCTCATCGCTCTAGCAGAGGCGGGCTTACAGGCGGAAGAGGCTGAGGACAACACTGGCAGACTAAGCGAGCTCATCGCTCTAGCAGAGGCTGGCTTGCAGGCGGAGGAGGATGATGACGCGTTCTTCACTCAGGCCGAAGAGACCGCAGATGAAGCGGAGGCCGCTTACTACAGGCGACAGGCAGATCAGAGCAATGTAGGTGAGTCTAGCCACAACAAAAGGTTGTGGTAGAGGATTGATACTCGGATGATGAGTTGCTTACTTAGTATGTTTTAGACTGAGGATTGGTACATGTGTGCTAGTTCAATGTTTTAGATTTTGTATTTGTATTGTAGTAGAACTTTCTTGATGATGCATTATGTTTCATTTGAACTATTTATGTATTGTACCAATGTAACAAACATTGTTTAATTTTTGTAACGGACATTGTGTTATCTCATAAAAGTTTCGCCATCAAAAATGGTATTACAATGCTGCTGCTGATGCGCTCAGAAGGGAGTCTGCCCAGCACCTAGCATGGGATTGCCGTGCCACTGTCCACGGCGTGGCAAGGCTGACACGCCACCAGCCATGGTGCGGTGGTCAAAGCAGCACTTCTGTTATGTCGTCGTGTCGGTTTAACGAATAGGTCAACAGGAAGTTCGACATAAGTTCATAAGTTCATCGCTCGAGCACTATCCCAAGTTCATCGCAAGTTCGACATAAGTTCAGCAAGTCATAACTACAACACAAGTTCATCAATATATAAGTTCGACATTACTCGATATACTACATGTTCCATCAGTATATGGGTGTCCGAGTACAAGTGCAGCATGTCATCCTAAAGAACTCCTATGACCCAGGAGTATATGGTGACCGTGGACGTCGCTGCCTCTTCGGACGTGTAGGCAGCACGTTAGGGGTGAACCCAATGTAGGTACGGTCTCGCTAGCGGTACACCCAGCGGTACTACTGAGTGTAACTAGGACCCTACAATTACAATATAGGCACCGTTACTTACAATGTTTAAGTAATTGTGACTTATATGGTGAAGGGTTGTTTCAAGTACCTGTGAGACGAACTGTGTAGGAAATGGTGCATCATCAAGCTGAGACATCCCAATCTCATCATAGTCCTCCTCCTCATCCTCGTCCTCGTCCTCATCCTCGTCCTCGTCCTCCTCATCCTCGTTCTCCTCAACGTCATGCTCCGTAGGACCCTTGCCGTGATTGCCGGGAGTACGAACATAAGAGGTCCCACCAGCCATCGTGTCAGAGGAACCTGCTCGTGTCGGCATAGTGCTCGAGCGTAAGGAACTAAACAGGTCTGGGTCAAAGGGCATCTCCCATAGAGTATCCACGCAGCTGAGCTTCTATGTCAGCTTCTTGCAACTCCTCCTCACTTTCTGCAAAAAAAGAAAACACGGATGAATGAGTCATGGAAACCATTTAACCACTGTCATGTCTCTGAGAATAGAATGTACATCGACGAAGACGTGTAGAATGCCGTGCGGCTCCCCTCTGGTCTCGTGAAGTCGCACGGCTACTTTGTTGGATAGACTTGTCAACTGTGATGCCTGCATACACAAGCGAGCTAAGTTTGTATCACTACAATTCATAGGAACGCCGATGTGCAGTTGT